GACATTTGGGTGAATATCTGAGGGGTATGTGTGAATATTTGAGATATTTGAGTGGGTATTTGAGGGTTTTGTGTGGATATTTGGGATATTTGTGTTGATTGATGAAGTCAAAACTCCTCATCCTTCCCTGGGCACGATCCTGGCACCCCGGCACTGGCACTGGAGAGATTTTTTTGGGGCTGGATGGAGTTTTTTTTTGTGGCTCACCTGAGCTCTCACACCTGCCCCGGCCGGCCCAAAAGCACCCGCGGCATCAGTTTCCCGCCCGGACGCTGCACAATGTGCCCACATCAAAGATGGCGGCGGTAGAGTCACCCGCCCCGTATAGCGGGCGGGAACCAGACCGGGCGGAAGCGAGTTTGGGCGGAAGTGGGTCCGACCCGAATTGGGTCCCCCGCGGGCGGATGCGCAGGGCCTGGCGGCGCGGCGGGATGGAGGCCGGCGGTCACGGTGAGAGGGCGCGGGGCCGGGGAGGGTCCGGGGGGGCTGCGGGATCGCTCCCCGGCGGGATAGAGCCCGTAGGGACCCCTCGCTGACCCTGTGTTCCCCCTCACAGGGCAGGAGGCCGAGGCGGGCGGCCATGGCGGCCACAAGAAGAAACACAAGAAGCACAAGAAAAAGCACAAGAAACGGCACCACCACGAGGCGGGGCCGCCCCAGGGGCCCGAACCCCCTCGGCAGCCCCGGCTGAGGCTCCGGATTAAGCTGGGAGGGCAGATCCTGGGCACCAAGAGGTGAGGAGGGAGCTGGGGGCAGATCCTGGGCACCCAAATGGGGGAGGAGGAGGAGGAGGAGGAGGGGGGAGGCAGGGCCGGGCATGTTCCGTGCGTCCCCCCAAACTCCTCTCTGTTCCCCTGCAGTGTCCCCACGTTCACGGTGGTCCCCGAGGGGCCGCACTCACCGTCCCCGCTGCTGGCAGGCGACGAGGAGGAGCCCAGCGTCCCCATCGAGCAGTACCGGGCCTGGCTGGGTGAGCAGCGCTCTGGGCAGGGCAGGGGGGGAAATGGGGGGCTCAGAGCGAGGGCTGCGTGGGGAGGGGCTGCCCTGGAGCCCTCGGGGTGGTGTGACCCCCACCCCTGGGGTTGTTCCCATAGATGAGGACAGCAACCTGGCCCCCTCCCCACTGCCCGAGCTGGACCCCGAGAGCTGCTTCCCCCCCCGTGAGGAGGGGGAGGAGGAGGAGGAGGAAGAGGAGGAGGAAGAGGAGGAGGAGGAGCGGCGCTGGCTGGCGGCCCTCGAGAGGGGGGAGCTCGATGACAACGGTGACATCAAGAGGGAGGTGGATGAGTCCCTCCTGACAGCCCGGCAGGTCAGGGGGCTGGGGGGCTGGGGGGGCTCAGGGAGCTCCAGACACAGAGGGGAGCTGGGCTGAGGGGGGACTGGGGAGCCTCGTAGCCCCTGGGGCATGACTGAGGGGATCTGGAAGGGCTGCAGGGCAGGGCTGGGGGAGACTGGGGGGGCTGAGGATGCTCAGGATGCTCCAGACCCAGGAGGAAGCTGGGCTGACGGGGGACTGGGGAGCCTCATAACCCCTGGGGCATGATTAGGGGGGTGTGGAAGGGCTGCAGGAAGCTCAGAACTGCTGTGGGGCTGAGCTGGAACCCTTGGGGAGCGACCGAGGGGATGTGGAAGGGCTGCAGGGCAGGGCTGGGGATGCTCAGAATGCTCCAGACCAGGAAGAAGCCAGGCTGAGAGGGGGCTGGGGAGTCTCATGGGTCCTGGGGCATGACTTGGGGGGGCATCTGGAGGGGCTGGGGATGCTCAGGATGCTCCAGACCCAGGAGGAAGCTGGGCTGGTGGGGTACTGGGGAGCCTCATAACCCCTGGAGCATGACTGAGGGGATCTGGAAGGGCTTCAGGAAGCCCAGGGCTGAGCTGGAACCCGTGGGGAGCGACTGGGGGATCTGGAGGGGCTGCAGGGCAGGGCTGGGGGGCTGGGGATGGTGCTAGGGGTGCCCAGGGAGCTCCAGAGCTAGTGGGGAGCTGGGCTGAGGAGCCTCATAGCCTCTGGGGCATGACTGAGGGGATCTGGAAGGGCTGCAGGGCAGGGCTGAGGGGGACTAGGGGGGCTGGGGATGCTCAGGATGCTCCAGACCCAGAAGGGAACAGGGCTGAGGAGGGACTGGGGAACCTCATAACCCCTGGAGCATGACTGAGGGGATCTGGAAGGGCTCTAGGAAGCCCAGGGCTGAGCTGGAACCCTTGGGGTGTGACTGGGGGGATGTGGAAGGGCTGCAGGGCAGGGCTGGGGGGCTGGGGACGGTGCTAGGGGTGCCCAGGGAGCTCCAGACCTAGTGGGGAGCTGGGCTGAGGAGCCTCATAGCCTCTGGGGCATGACTGAGGGGGCCTGGAAGAGCTGCAGGAAGCCCCGAGCTGGACGTGGGGGTCCCCGCAGCCCCTCCCTGACCCCCGCCGTGCCCCCGCAGCGCGCGCTGCTGCACAAGCAGCAGAGCCAGCCCCTGCTGCAGCTGCCCATGGGCGCCAAGGCCAAGGAGGTGACGGAGGAGATGCGGGAGAAGCGCGAGGAGCGGGCGCGGCGCCGGCGGCTGCAGGCGGCCCGCAAGGCCGAGGAGAGCAAGAACCAGACCATCGAGCGCCTGACGCGCACGCACAAGGCCAAGGTGAGGGCCCTGCGCGAGCGCCGCGCCCGCCCCCGGCCCTGCCCGGTGGTTCACTACCGCAGCGCCGCCGACGGCGTCACCGTGTCCTTCCCCGCCGGGCTGCCGCGCCCGCCCGGCCCTGCGCCGTGCCCGGCTGCACCAACGCCAGGCGCTACAGCTGCGCCCGCACCGGCCGGCCGCTCTGCAGCCTGGGCTGCTACCAGCGCAACCTGCAGCTGCTGCAGAGCGCGGGGTGATGGTGCTCGGGGGGGATGGACCCTCACCGGGGGGCTACGGACCGTCCCTGGGGGCTAGAGACCCTCCCTGGGGGCTACAGACCATCTACAGGGGCTACAGACCCTCCCCGAGGGGCTACGGACCGTCCCTGGGGGCTACAGACCATCTACAGGGGCTACGGACCATCTACAGGGGCTATGGACCCTCCCTGGGGGCTACAGACCACTCTGGGAGGCTGCAGACCCTCCCCAGCTGGCTAAGGACCCTCCGTGGGGGACTATGGACCCTCCCCAGGGGGTACAGACCATCTACAGCGGCTGCAGACCCTCCCCAGGGTCTATGGACCCTCTGTGGGGGGCTAGAGACCCTCCCTGGGAAGCTACAGACATTCCATGGGGGACTGCAGATCTTCTCCATGGGGTTACGGACCCTCCCCGGGGGTTACGGACCCTCCCCGGGGGGCTGTGCCGTGGGTACAAAGGCATCACCGGGCCCTGTGGAGTTCCTGGCTTATCCACGTGGGGCTGGAAGAGGAACCCGCAGCTTTCCCGCTGTGGGGAGCTCCAGGTGTTCCACACGGAGCCAGAAGGCAGAACAAGGGGGGCTTCGAACCGTCTGCTGTGGGTACAGAGCGTCGGCCACGCCACGTGGACACAAGGGACAGGAGAGCTGCAGGTCCTCGTGGACACAGGGATGGGGAGCTCCAGAGGGCTGCAGGCTCTCCAGCATGGACACGGCGTGTTGGGGACGCGGGCAGGGAGGGAGGGCGGTCCTGAGGCGGGTTCTGTGTGGCGGAGCTCATTAAAGGCTGTTGTTCAAGGAGCCGTGTGTGGCCTGCTGGCGTGGGAGACAGCCCGGCACCCCCCGGGAGCGCTGGCCACCCCCCCTTCCCCCCCCCCCCGGTGGGTTATGGTCTGTCCCGGGTGGGCGGGGCGCTCTCTGGCAGCGCCCATTGGCTGCGGCCATGCCCAGAGGAGAGCGGCGACGCTGATTGGTCAGACGCTTTGCCAATCGGACGGCTGAAGAGCTGTCTGCTCGCCAATTGGCCGCGATGTGCCGAGTGCCCGCACCGGGGCGGGCCGGGAGGCCGCGCCCTCCGTCGAAGTCGGAGCTGGGTCGCCATTGGCGAGCGCCGCTGTCAGTCAGAGCCTGGGGGAGGTGCTCTGCCTCCGGTTGGACACTACAGCCGCCAATCACGGCGGGGGCGGGGCTCGGCTTCTTTGTCTCTGTTGTTGGGCGTGAGACTCAGGCAGACGGCGAGCGATTGGCTGGAGCCGGACGGCGGCGCCGCCGCCGATTGGCTGTCGTCTGCGGAGCGTCCGCTGATTGGCCGACGGTGGCCGCGGGGGCGGGATTTCGGGCCGGGCGTGATGGCGGCGGCGACGGCCCCGGCCCGGGCGGCGGCGGCCGCGGGGGCCGCGATGGCGGCGGCGGGCGGCGCCATGGAGCGGCCCGGGAGCGCCGAGGGGGCCTGGGCCGCGCTGCTGGGCCGGCAGCACCCGCAGGTACCGGGCGGGCCGGGGCGGGGGGGCCGCGCGCGGGGCTGCGGTGACGGTGCGGCCGTGCCCGCAGGCCCGGGAGTTCTGCCCGGGGGTGAACAACCGGCCCTACGTGTGCGAGACCGGGCACTGCTGCGGGGAGAGCGGCTGCTGCACCTACTACTACGAGCTGTGGTGTGAGTGCGGGGGATCCCGGGAGAACGGAGGGGAGCGGGGATCCCGGGCGGGCCGGTGGCCTCGGGAGCAGCCGGGACTCCGGGAGGTCAGGGGCTGTGCCGGGGCTGGGGGCACTGAGGGCTCTGGGGGGCTCTGGGGGTGCGGCCGCGGGGGTTCCGTGTGACGGTGACCGGCCCGCTCCGCGGCCCCGTTCCCGCAGGGTTCTGGCTGCTCTGGACCATCCTGATCCTGCTGAGCTGCTGCTGCGCCTTCCGGCACCGCCGCGCCAAGCTGCGCCTGCAGCAGCAGCAGCGGCAGCGTGAGATCAACCTCATCGCCTACCACGGTGCCTGCCAGTACCCGCCCTCCTCGGGGGACCTCCGTGAGTCGGGGCTGCTGAATTCCCCCCGTGCCCCCAATCCCAGCCCCTGGCAGCACCGCCCCCTTCCACGGGGGGTGGCGATCGGGACCCCCAGCCCCACATTCCCCCAGCTGTGCCCTTCCCCTCCATCCCCATCCTCTCGGGGGCCGTTTCCCGGTGTCCCGGGTGTGTCCCTGACCCCGCCTCTCCCCTCCCAGGGCTGCTGGCCTCCTTCAAGCTCCCGGCGTACGAGGAGGTGGCGCAGCGCCCCGGGACGCCGCCGCCGCCCTACAGCCCCGGGAGCCCCTCGCTGTCCCCCGGCTCCTCCGGGGGCTGCAGCTCCTGCTCCTGCGGCTGCTCCTGCGCCTCCTCCCCCAGCAGCTCCTCGCTCTCGGCACCGGGCACCGACGAGACGGACCCGGAGCCCGGCCCGGAGCCGGGGGGTGGCAGTACCGGCCGTGACTACGGCTCCAGCAGCACCGGCACCGGTGCCAGCTGGGACCTGCCCCTGCCCGAGGAGCCGCCGGCCCGCGGGGGCCCCCCTAAACAAGTGCCCCCGGACCTGTGCGAGGCCGAGGGTCGCCCCTGCTCCGACACCGAGGGGGGCGAGGACGGGGCGGGCAGAGCCGTGCCAGGGGGGTGCCTTGGGAGGCACCGGCGGCTCACGGGGGATTCGGGCATCGAGGTGGGCCGGGGCCTAGAGGAGGAAGAGGGTGAGCCTGAAGGCTATGGGGGAGCAGGGGGCGGTGGGGGGCCCGGCTTACCCGTGCTGCCTGTCTGAGCCCCCCCCACAGGACCCCCAGCTGGGGTCTGGACTCATCACGGAGCCCCCGGGGGCTCCTCGCCCCGACTGACACCCACCTTGCAGTGCGGTGGGGTCCTGCTGCAGCCCCCTCCCCTCCAAACTGCTCCTGGGGCCCCCCCTGTGATCCCGGTGCTGCTGCCCGGGGGGGCCCATCGCCCAGGGGGTGCCCGAGGCCGTGGGCGTGGGTGGTCCCGGCGCGTTCTCTCACCATTAAAGAGATGTGGAAGTACCATGGACCCTTGTGGTGGGTGCACTGGGCTGGGTGGCGACCCCCGACTCCACAGGAAGGGGCAAAACAACCCCCCCGGTGGCACAGGGGCCACCAGTGTGACCTGGGGTCAGCAAAGGTGACACCGGGGTGGCGAGAGGCTACGCTCACGGAGGTTTATTGCAGGGGAGGCAGGGGGGCTCTGGCACAGCCCCCCAACACCTCCCCCGGCCCTGAGCACGCCAGGCAGGCAGGGGGCACAGAGACCCCCCCACATCAATAGTCCTCGGCCATGGCCAGCACAACGAGCGCGGACCAGCCGGCGAAGGGGTGACAACCCTGCCCGGCGCCGTCGCTGTCCCGATAGTGCTCCCACAGGAAGCCGGTGGCCTCGTACTGCCGGAACACGTTGGCCACGAGGTTGAGGCGCAGCTCCCGGTAGAGCTGCGCCGCGCGCTCCCGGTGCGGCCCCGCCGCCCGCGCGTAGCCGCGCAGCGCCCGCAGCGCCAGGAAGTTGATGTTGACCCAGACGGAGCCGCGCCAGTACGGCGGGTCGTGCTCGGTGTTGCGGCGCAGGTACATGGGGCTGTCGCGGGCCAGCGAGCGCAGCCCGAAGGGCGTCCACAGCTGCTTCTCGCCGCGCATGGAGCCCAGCAGCGCCGGCAGCCGCGGGGAGTCCGCCCGCAGCAGCTGCAGCAGCAGCGGGAACAGGCTGACGTAGCCCAAAGCGCCCACGAACCGCGGCCGCGGCGCCTCCCGCACCTCCCGCCGCAGCTGCGGGGCCGGCGGGGGCCCGCCGGGCACGGGCGCCGGGCGGTGCCAGCGCAGAGCCACGGCCGCGCTGTGATTGCCGAAATCGGCGAAGGCGCCCAGCTCGGGCGCCCAGTGCAGGCGGTCCAGCAGGTCGTTGTCGCTCAGGGCGGCGGCCATGTCGCGGTAAGGCGCGGGGGGCTCGCCCAGGCGCTCGGCCAGCGCCGCCAGCACGCGGGCGCCCAGCGCCATCCAGCAGCGCAGGTCCAGGTGCCGCTCCTGGGCGGACGGGTGGGAGGCGCGGGGGTAATCGTCCAGCCCCGACGACAGAGTCTTGGGGTTCAGGAAGCGCTCGGGGTCGGGGTCGCGGCCGCGCCAGCGGAAGGTCAGGGGCTCGGGGCCGGCCTGGGTGCGGTTCAGCCACTCGAACCAGGCGCGGAGGCGCGGGGAGAGGCGGCGCAGGTAGGGCAGGGGCGCGTCGGGCAGCAGCCGCTCCAGCGCCAGCAGCAGCGTCGGGGGGTTCGCCGTCTCGCTGTGCTGCAGCACGAACTCGGGGGGCACCCGGGACCGCGCCTCCTCCCCCAGGATCTGCTCCCGCGGGATCCAGCCGTCGGCGTTCAGGAGGTCGAGCCAGTGGGCGAGGATGTCGCGGGCCAGCGCGGGGTCCCAGCGGGCCAGCAGCAGCAGGTGGAAGCCCTCGTCCCACAGGAAGCCGCGCGGGAAGCAGGAGCGCGAGGGCACGGCCGTGAACAGCACGGACTCCATGCCGGGCACCGGCTCCTCCCGGTGCTCCGAGCGCAGCAGGGAGCGGCCGTGGAAGAAGCCGATGCCGCCCAGCATCTCGCTGAGCGCGGCCTGGGCGAAGCGACGCTGCGGGAGGGACACCCCGCGCGCCCCCAGCCCGAAGGTGTCCTCGAAGCGCCGCTCGAAGGCGGCCGCGTGCCGGGCCAGCGCCGCGCGCGCCGCGCCGCCGCCGCGCTGCCCGACTCCAGCGTCACCTCCAGCGCGGCCGGCGGCTCCAGCGTCACCTGGTGCAGCAGCAGCTGCCCCCGCGGGGGCTCCCCAGGCAGCCCCCCAGCGCTGGACACCCCGAAAAAGCGGCGGCGGGGTCGGCCCGGTGGGGAGAACACGGAGCTCTCGCGGAGGCTGTGCCGGACCAGGTCGGTGAGACGGTGCAGCCCCGGCACCCCCGCGGCCAGGAAGTTGTAACTGGGGGGGGACAAGAGAGTCAGGGATGGGGGACACGGTGGGGACATGGGGGCAGATGGAGGGGACGCAGTGGATTTGGGGGCCGCAGCCCAGACGCTCACCTGGCGTACTTGGGACCCTCCCCGCCCTCCCCCGTGGGGGGCAGGAAGGTGACAGTGAAGTCCCCGAGCTCCTCTGCCGTCCCTGCCACGGCCGCCAGCCGCGTCCCGTTCTCCAGCACCGGCCGCAGCGTCCCCTGCCCGTCCGTGGCCACGTAGAAGAAGAGGGACAGGAGAGGGGCCGGGCCTTTGCCCTGGGGAGGAGGAAGAGGAGGATGACAAAAGCTCCCCGGCATCCCAACCCCTCTCCCACTCTCGCCCCCTCACCTCCGTCTTCACTGTGACCCGCCAGCTCCAGTCGCCGCCATGGTCTCCCCCCGGCTGCTTCACGAACTCGGTTCTCAGCAGCAGCCCCTCATCGCGGATCTCCTGCACTCCGAAATTCTCCCCGTCGTGCATCAGCCACCCATATCGCGACACGCCGTTGTTCTGCTCGCTCGTGTGCCGCAAGTTGCCGCCGTGTTGGAGCCACATCAGTCCTGGAGGGGCGGGGGGGTGTCAGGGGCGGCCTCGCGGTGGGAGCGGGGCCGGGCGAGCCCCAGGGCGGGGCAGAGCCCCCCGCGCCCCTCACCGGTCACGACAGCGCGCGGGCTCCGCGTCTTCATCCCGAAGTACACGTGAGGCCGGTACGTGCCCCAGAAATAGGTGGGCGACGCGAGCGGCCCGGTGGAGCCAGGGGGGACGGCGGGGGGCGCGGGGTGGGGGGTGACGAGGCGGGAGGCTTCGCTCCACCGCTTCCATCCGGCAGCCGCCGCCGCCAGAGCCAGCGCCAGCGCTGCCGCCGCCGCTGTAAGCGCCAGCGCCGTCCGGCCCCGCCCGGAGCCTCGCGGTGGCTTTTGCTGTTGCCGCAGTTTCGGGTCGCGGAGCCGCTCCCGGGGCCGTTCCCGGGGTCCATCCCCGCCGCGCCGCCGCCGCTCGCCCGCCATCAGGGCAGTCGCGCTGGTGACGTCAGTGCTGCGCCAGCTGCGGCGGGGCCGGGGCCGCGAGCGCTCCCTGGCGGGCGGGAGGAACGCGCGCGGGCTCAGTCCTCCAGGGACCCCCCGGCCCAAACCGGCCCCGAGGGGACAGCGACACCGCAGGGTGTCCCCGGCCAGCACTGCCACACAGTCCTCGCTCCTCCTTATGCCCGTTGATCTCCTCCCCAGCCTCTCCGGGGATACCCAAAGGGCCCGCAGCCTTCCCTAGGATCACTCTGGAGCCCCAACTATGCACCCGCAGTGTCCCCAGGATCCCGAGGGAATCCCACCCTGCACCCCCAGGACACCCAAGCCCCACCGGTCTCCCCACAAAAATTCCAATTAGATCCTGCCCACCAGCAGTTGGAATCCCAGGATCACACCCCAGGGATGCCAGACCCCCATACCCCAATACCCCCCCGCAGACACAGCCACGGCCATGGTGTTTCCAGGTTTATTCCAGGTCAGCCCTCGGGGCTGTTCCCGACACACGGCAGCCCTGGCACACGCCAGCGGCGAGCTCGGTGCAGCCGCAGGGACAGCCACTGCTGCTGGCTGCCCGGGAACGGGGACTCGGGCCGGGCCGGGAGATCGGCCTCGGGAGCCAGCGGGGGCGTCCCCGGGAGTGGGCCCAGCCCCTCCAGAGGGTCCAGGCCAGGGACAGGATCCATGGATGGTTCCAGGGGGTGGGCGCCTTCGTCTGAGCCTGGGAAGGGACGGATAGGTTTGGGATAGGTTGGATGGGTAGGCTGGTTGGTACATCCTGCTTCTGATGCGGGTTCCTGTCCCCATTCCAATCCCATCCGCATCCTCGTCCTCTCCCTGTCCCCATCGGTCCTTGTCCCATTCTCCCTACCCCACCCTGTCTCATCCCATCTCCACCCCATTCCAGTCCCACTCTACCTCATCCCATCTCCACCCTATTTCATCCCAATCCCACTCCACCTCATCCCATCCCATCCATCCCATCCCATCCCACCCCATCCCAATTCCACTCCACCTCATCCCATCCCACTCCATCCCATCCCATCCCATCCCACTCCACCTCATCCCATCCCACCCCATCCCATCTCCAACGCCATCCCAATCCCATCCCCTCCCCTCCCTTCCCCTTCCATCCCATTCATCCATCCCATCCCATCCATCTATCCATCCCATCCATCTATCCATCCCATCCCATCCATCTATCCATCCATCCCTCCCATCCCATCCCATCCCGTCCCGTCCCGTCCCATCCCATCCCACCCCATTCCCCAGCCCGTTCCCCTCCCCTCCCAGCCCTCCCCTCTCTCACAGCAGCGCCGGAGGCTGCCCCAGCGGCGGGGGGCTCCCCCCAGCCCCCCCGGCTGCTGCAGCAGGCAGCGCACGGCCGTGTCCGTGTGCCGGAAGACGCAGAGGGCCCGCAGCGCCTGCCGCGCCTCGGGGGCCAGCCCGGAGCTCTCCGAGCACACCAGCTCCCGCACGGCCTCGAAGTCCCGCCGCAGCTGCAGGGCACCCTGCAGGCTGGCACGGGGGTCAGCGTGGGCACGGGACCCCTGGCATCCCCAGCAGGACCCCGTGGCACTGCCACCGCGCGCCGTGACTGCCACCGAGATCCCGCCCCCACCACCGGCGGGACCCCCACAGGACGTCTGGCACTGTCACCAGAGCCCCTCGGACCCCCACTGGGACACCGTCAGTGCGAGCCCAAGCTGCCACTGGACCCCTGGCCTGTCACTGGACCCCCAGGATGACACTGGGACCCCCAGGACACTGCTGGGACCCCTGGAATTGCCACTGGGACCCCCAGAACTCCACTATGACTTCTGAAACTGCCACTGGGACCCTCAGGACCCCACTGGGACCCCTGGCACTGCCACTAGGACCCCCAGGACGCCACTGGGACCCTCAGGACACCACAGGGACCCCTGGCACTGCCACTAGGACTTCTGAAACTGCCACTGGGACCTCCAGGACATCACTGGGACCCCTGGCACTGCCCACAGGCTGTGGCCCCCCGTCCCCAGTACCTGAACTTGATCCGGCGGGTCAGCCACTGGGACCTCCAGGACACCACTGGGACCCCTGGCACTGCCCCAGTACCTGAACTTGATCCGGCGGGTCAGGATGTGATCCATCCAGGCCTCCAGGAAGGCCGTGGTGACCCGTGCCAGGGTGGGCACCTGGGCATCGTGGGGCAGGGCCTGGGCCCCCTGCAGCACCTGCCCCAGCACCGCCTGCACCGCGGCCGCCGCGTAGGCGCTGGGGGAGCTGGGCAGCTCTGGGGGACACAGGGACCCGGTTCAGTGAGCCCCTAAATCCCCCCCTGGCCCCCCAGCCCCAACACCCACCAGCGCGGGGCCCGAGCCGCCAGTGCCGGCCCAGCGGCATCGTCTGGTCGAAGATCTCGGCCGAGAGCCGCTTGCAGCTGGTGGAGAACATCCAGAGCACATCCCCGGAGAACAGCTGGGACACAGGGGACACGGGATGACACGGGTGACACGGGGTGACACAGGCATCCTCGTGCTCAGACCACCCTCCTGCAGTGCCACCACACCTGGATGCTGTTGGCCGCGTCGCGGATCTGCCGGCACAGCTGGAGCTCCCACAGGGATCCCGGGCTGGGGGGCGGCTCAGGGGGGCTGTCCCCAGGAATGTCCCCTGGCTCCGGGAAGGTCCTGCTCACCTGCAGCATCAGCTGCTCTGCCTCTGCCTTCAGCACCTGCAGGGGAGCAGGTGGAGTGAGCCCAGCCCTGCTGTGTCCCCCCAGCCCCCCGTGCCCGCCGTGCCCCCCGTACCTGCAGGTCTCCCTCGGTGAGCAGCAGGAACTGAGGCAGCGCCCAGGCCGCCAGGTACCGCCCGGCCCGGCCCGTCAGCCACGCGTGGGCGGCCGCCACCGCCGCCAGGCAGCGGCCCAGCACCTGCAGCCGCAGGCAGAGACCCCCGGGGGGGGCTGCGGGTGGGGTCAGCACAGAGAGGATCCCCAGAGCAGCCTGCCCCCCACCCCAGACCCCTCTCACCGTGCGGGCGGGCGGGCAGCAGGCGCAGGCAGCGCAGGGCCAGCGCCAGGGCTGGGAAGAGGCATCGGAGCTGCTGGGCTGTACGGCTGCACCCCGGCCCTGGAGACCCCCCCGGGGCCTCCAAGCACTTGTCTGACAGCCCTGAGCCCAGAGCACGGGTAAAATCTGGAGGAGAAACAATCAGAAGGCCCCATCATCCCCCACTCGCACCCCACACCCCATCCCATTCCCAACCCTTCATGGCATACCCCACTCCCTCACCCCATATCCACCTTGTACCCCACAGCCCACACCCTGCAGCACACCCTGGACCCCCCCGTGCCCCCCCAGCCCCCCATACCCGTGTCCCAGCTGCAGAGGATGCTCCTGCACAGCAGCTGCAGGCAGAGCCGCCCCAGCTCCTCCCGGCACTCAGCGGGCACACGGGCTGTGGGGACACAGCGGGGCTCAGATGGGACAGGGACACCCCGAGGGAGCCCCGCACCCCCTGTACCCCCTGCACCCCCACGTACCCACAGCGAGCGCACGGCTCAGCTCCCACGCCGCGGTGACGGTGGCGCTGGGGGTGGCAGGGGGGGTGCCCGGGGTGTCCCCCAGCACGGTGCCCGCAACCTCCCAGAGCAGCAGGCGGTAGCGGGCACTCAGGGTGGCAGCCACGGGGCCGCGGGCGGCGTCCAGCCACCGCACGGCCTTCCAGCCACCCGCACTGCCCGGCCGCAGCCCCGGCGGCTCGGGGCTCTCTGACAGCACTGGCTGCCACAGGCTGTCAGCTGAGGCCACCAGCGCCCCAAAAACGTGTCCCATCAGCTCCTCGTCCTCCTGGCACAGCGCCTGCAGCTCAGCCGCCAGCGCCGATGGCGCCTCCGTTCCGGAAGGTTCTGTGTCCACACCCGTGCCCGTCTCAGCCGTGTCGTGCCCCGGTGGCCACGGCAGCACCACGTCCTCCCAGCAGACGTGTCCATCCCTGATGTCCCCACTCTGGGGCCACAGGAGCGGCCGGAGCCTCTGGGCCACGGCCTGGCCCCGCTCGGCCGCCAGCAGCCGCAGCACCCCACCCACCGTGAAGGCACCGGGGGCCTTCACCTCGGGGCCCAGCTCCTCCGCCAGCCCCTGCACCACGCGGTTGTAGATCTCCAGCCCCTGGAAGAGGTCAGCCAGGCACTCAGAAGCCGGGGCAGGGCTACCGCGGCGGCCGAGCTCCCGCAGCCGTCCCTCGACGTGCCGCCCGGCCAGGCGCGCGGCCATCAGCACGGGCAGCAGCAGCGCCCACCGCAGCTCCAGGCACAGCTCCCGCAGCGCCGGCGCCGCCTCGCCGCGCTCTCCGGGCCCCGGCGGCTCCTGCAGCCGCCGCAGGAAGTCGGAGGAGGCCTTGAGGCGTCGAGTGAAGTCGCGGGCCAGGCGGAGCTGGTGGCGGTGCTGCAGCAGCGCGTGCAGGGTCGCTCCGCGCTCCGCCACGCGCTGCCGCACGGCGTCCCCGGAAAAGTCGCCGGCGCCGCTGGGATGGGGCCGCACGTACCCCAGGAAGGTCTCGGTGCGAGGGTCCTCCCAGACGCAGAGGCAGCGGCGCAGCCCCGGGAAGCTTTGCTCCAGCGGGACCACGATGGACGCCGCTTCGTCCTCATCTTCCTCGTCCTCGTCGTCCTCGTCGGTGTCGCCGCGCCGGCTCGACCGCGGGGACAGCAGGCGGCGCAGCCCCGGCGTGACGCTGCGCAGCATGGCCTCTGCCCGCTGCAAGGAGCGTGCCAGGGGCCCCCGCGACCCGCCTGGGGGCATGGGACCCTCAGGATGGGGCAGGGACCGTGGTGGAGGGTGGGGAACCCCAGTTTGAAGAACCTTGCTGTGGGGCAGCACCTACCCCCATCGCCCCGTCACTGTCCCACCGCCACCCTAACCCTGAGACCCCCGGGACCCTGTTACGCTCCCCACGTGTCCCCCAGGGCCCCACAGCACATTGGGGTCCCCATAGCTTTCCACATGCCATCAATGCCCCCCCAAAGACCCTGGACCCCATTAGGGTCCTCCACACTCCCCCCAGAACCACGCAGCCCAGCAGGATCCCCGCAGCCCCCCAGAACACCACACCCCCTTGTGGTCCCCGCAGCCCCCGGGGGTCTCACCGGGCTCGGGGGGGTCTCCGCGGGCAGCCCCATCGCCCGGTCCCGGCCGGGCCGTCAGCAGCAGCAGGATGAGGCCGCCCAGGCCGGCGTCGCCCACCTGGAGGGGTGCAGGGGGCTCAGGACCCCCGGGCCGGGGCGGAGGGCGGGGCCACGCATGACCCCGCCCATCACCGCACTGACCACGCCCACACCACGCCCCCAGCTGACTCCCGCTGTGACCACGCCCCCGGCCTGAGCGCTCCACGTTTGGCCACTCCCCCGCCCCGCCCCCNTACCGGCCCGGCCGCGCCGCTGCCCCGTGAGATGTGTCCGAACCCCCCCTCGCCCCGAGCGGCCTCACCTGCAGGCACAGCTCTCCGCCGCGCCGCTCAGCGCCGCCGGCGTCCATGCCGGGCCATGCCGGGGGCGGCGGCAGCAAAGAGGCTTAGGCCGCGCCCTCGCTAATCCGGGGGGCTGGGCCAAGCTGGCCGCCAGGAGGGGCCCGGCGTGCGGGGCGGGACGAGCGGCGGGGGGCGGCCGAGCCCACGGCCTTGGGGCAGGCGGGGGCGGCGGGAGAGGATGTGGAGCGCCGGTGCCGCTCCGTCAGGGCCCTGCGGGCCGCCGTCCTGCCCGCACCCAGCATGGCGGCCGGGCGGCCTCAACCGGCGCCGTGACGCTGTTCCGGTAGGCCGGTGATGCAATCCTGAGGCGCGGCGGCGGCGGCGATGCGGGGCTCGGGCGGGACGCGGGAGCGGGACGGGCCCGGGCTGGGCGGCTTCGGGCCTGCCGCCGCTGCCTGCCCCTGGGGCTGCACGCTCGGCCCCGCCGGCTGGAGCGGCGGTACGGGCCGTGGCGGGGCCGGGCGGCGAGCCCAGAGCGGGGCCCGCTTTCGGTTCCGCCTCCGCCGGCTCATGGCTGTTTTCTCTTCCCACAGCGCCCTTCTGCCCCCGGCACCGTATGTCCAGCTTCGCCGAGCTGCCGTCGCAAGGTCCCTCGCAGACAGTGATTAAGTGTAAGGGGGGGGAGGTGTGTTTGCTCTGGGACGACGGTGAGTGAGGCGGGGGCTACCGGGAATTGCCAGGAGACGGGGAACGGGGTGGGGGCTGCCGGGATCCGGAGCCTGGGACTGCTCCTCACACACCCCGTTCTCCTGCCAGGCCCCAGGGTGGATTACTACCGGCTGGGGGACGACGATGACGATGGCAACGACGATTACGACGAGTACGAGTTCGAGGAAGGTTTGCAGTTCTTGGACGTTCCCGTGGCGGAGGGGGCCGTTCCCTACAGCTACTGCGGCTTCCGCAAGTCCTTCCTGTGCTCGGAGCCGCCCCCGCAGCTGCCCCGGACCCCTCCCACCGCCCTGGACGCGCGGCTGGACCGGCTGCCCACGCCCCGCCGGCCCTGGCTCACGGCAGAGGTGGGCAATGCCCCCGGTGCCCCCCGGGGGCTGGCGGTCCGGGTTGGCATCACCGGCGGGCCCCGTGGCTTGGCCCCGGGGCTGTCCTGACTCCGGGCATCCCTCCTGTAGGAAGCTGAGAGGAATGCACAGGAGCTGGTGGCAGAGGAGGAGCGGGCCAAGAGGAAGGCAGAGAAGAAGAAGCTGAAGAAGAAGGTGGGTGAGCTTTGGGAGGGGTCACTGCCAGCTCCTGGGATTGGGGTCACTGCCTGTTCTTGGGGTGCTGCCAGCGGGTCCCTGAGCTGGGGGCTGGGGGTGGTGGGGTTGGGGGGACTGCATTTCTCTGCCTCACACCTGCTCGTGGGTTCATGTTCTTCCTTCTCAGAAACAAAAAGACCGAAAGAAACGGGAGAAACTGGTTCAAGAGCAGAAGAACAAAGAGAACACTGACCCAGTGAGTGACCAGTCCGGCCTGCTCATGCTGTTCTAGGGGTGCCCAGAGGTGGGGCCCAGCCAACACCCCCTAGCCCTGTCACCTCACCCCCTCCTCCTCCTTGCAGAGCCCCCCAAGTGGCCCTGCAGGCACTGGGCCCCCCTCAGATGGTGCTGAGGATGAGGAATGCTGCCCAGAGCCCTCCCCATGCCCTGGGGACTCCACACTCCCCTCGGGGGAGCCTGGCCCGGAGGACACAGCGGTGGCAGAGGTGAGGGGTGGTCTCCCCACGGGTGTGGGGGGTCCCAGGGCTCTGCCTGCCCATCCCATCCCTGCCTGCTTCCCCAGGAGGAGCTGGACCTGAGCTGCACTTTTGTCTGCAAAGCACGGGAGAAGGCGGGGGTCAGGCTGCCCCCCCCGGGCAGTGAGCCGTCCCCCGGGACACAGAACGTGGAGCCAAGCAGGAAAGTGCCCGAGAAGGGAAATGGGGACCCTGTGGAGAGACCTGTGTCCCCCCAGCCCCCCCAGGCCAGGCCCCCCAGCCCCAGCACCATAGAGCAGAGCCTGGCGCTTGCAGGTCGGTGCAGGCACCCCCAGAGGGGCGAGGGAAGGGCTTTGGGGAGCTTCTCCCCAGCTCAGAGGGGCTGTGCTGGGGGGACTGTCCCTCCCTGTGTCCTCACTCCCCACCCCGTGTCACTCCCCAGGCCACGGCATCGAGGCAGCCCAGATGGGCCAGCACACCGAGGCCGTTTGGGCGTTCACCGTCGCCCTGGAGCTGAACCCCCGGGAACACCGGTGAGCACAGGGGCTTGGGGGTGAGCTGAGGGGTCCCGGGGTGGGAGAGCCAGCCCTCAGTGACACCCCCATGCCCTCAGGCTCCTGGGGAACCGCTCCTACTGCCTGGAGAAGCTGGGCCGCTACGAGGAGGCGCTGGCGGACGCGGAGGCGGCGCTGGCGCTGCAGCCGGGCTGGCCCAAGGGCTCCTTCCGCAAGGGCAAGGCCCTGAAGGGGCTTCAGGTACCTGGGGGGGCTCCAGGGACTGTACAGGGGGCTGGGCGGGGGACTGCAGGAGGGTGGGTGGCGTGGCTGGGTGAGGGGTGCTGGGTTATAGTGAGTATCATCCTTCCGCAAGGGCAAGGCCCTGAAGGGGCTTCAGGTACCTGGGGGGGGCTCCAGGGACTGTACAGGGGGCTGGAGTCTGGGGGGGACTGCAGGAGGGTGGGTGGCATGGCTGGGTGAGGGGCTGCTGGGTTCTAGGAGTGAGTATGGGGGTTTCAGTGTTGTTGGAGACAAACTGGGAGTTTTGGGGTGCTGGTGGGCTGGGCAGGGGGCTGAGGGGTGCCAGTGGGTCTGGCTGGGGGCTGTGGGGTGCTGTGGATGAGAGGTGGGGCTGGTTGCATGAGGTGTGAGTTGGGGCTGGGAGGGCTGGGCAGGGCACAGGGTGTTGGTGGGGCGGGGTAGGGCTGCGCTGGGGGCGTGTCAGGGAGGCTTTGAGGTGCCATTCGGGCTGGCTGGGGGCTCTGGGGGTCCTGTGGGGCCAGGCAGGGGGTTGCAGGTGCCCTCTGGCCCCCAGCGCTACGCCGAGGCCGCACGCACCTTCGAGGAGCTGCTGCTGCAGGATGCGGCCTACGCTGAGGCAGCCACGCAGCTGGAGGCCTGCCAGGCCCTGCTGCAGGTGAGACCCCCCCTTTCCCAACCCCCTAGCCCCTGCCCCATGTCCTGCTGTGCCCCCCACGCCTCACCCCTGTCCCCTCACAGCAGTGCAGCCGCCCCGGGGGTGTCCCCGTGTCCCCCTTCCTGCTCAAGGCTAAGGAGCCGCTGTTTCTCCCTGGTAAGGGACAGGGGTGGGTGGGCTGGGGGGACCCCGAGGCTGTCCCTGTGTCCCCAGTGGGTGCTGAACCCCTGTGGCCCCTCGGCAGCAGGATGGACGACCAGGAGCTGCCAGGACACAGGTGACAAAAACGTGACAGGAGGCAGTGCCAGGACCCCCACAAAAGACCCAGAACGGGCACCTGCTGTGGCCAGTGGCTGCCCAACACTGCCACCGAGCCACCCTGCCAGGTACGGGGGTCTGCTGATCTGGGAGGGGGCTCAGAGAGGGACAGTGCTGGCTCTGATGACACCAGGATGGCTCTTGGCAGGGACTGCTTCCCGCTCTGGGTGGGCAACGTCACCTCCCACATCACTGAGAAGGTGCTGCGTCGTGCCTTTGGCCGGTGAGTGACCCCCAGGACTGCTCCTGCTCCAGGACCCCGAGCCCCTGCCACCCCCTGGTGATCCCCGAGCCCCTGCCACCCCCTGGTGACCCCCAGGCTGCCCAGCTCTGTCCCTGTCCTGGTTCTCTGGTGCTTTTGACCTGCAGGGGATGCATGGGGTGTAGTGTCCGACTCACACAGCACCCCCAGGTTTGGGGGTCTCCAATCCTCCACCTCCCCATTTAGGAGTCTCTGTTGCCCCCCACTTTGGGGGTCTGTGCCCCCTATATTTGGGGGTCTCCAATCCTCCACCTCCCCATTTAGGAGTCTCTGTTGCCCCTCCCCTTTGGGGGTCTGTGCCCCCCAGGTTTGGGGGTCTCCAATCCTCCACCTCCCCATTTAGGAGTCTCTAACTGTTGCCCCCCCATTTGGGGGTCTGTGCCCCCCAGGTTTGGGGAGATCTGCTCCGTGCGGCTGCTCCCGGGGCGCCGCTGTGCCTTCATCAACTTCCGCGGGAAAGCTGATGCCGAGGAGGCCTTTAGGGCCATGCAGGTCAGCTGGGGGGACTTGTGGGACCCCCCCCTCCACCCCTCAGATAGCCCTGGGACACCCTGTCCCCACAGGGGACCTGTCCTGGTGCCAGCTCCTGCTGTCCCCAGGGTGCCACCGTGGAGGGCAGCAAGCTGTTGCTGCAGCTCAAGCACCCGGCCCACGCCACGCCGTGCCCCGCGCCCCGTGCCAAGGGCAAGGCCACCCCCGGGGGGCTGCTCAGCTGACCCTGCCCTGGTGGGGGGCCCCTGGCAGCCCCCCCTCACCTGCCTGTACCTGCCTGTGCCTTGTCCCCCACTGCCAGGGGTGGGAGTGTCTCCCCGTCCTGCCTTGGGGGTGCCCACCCTCGTGCTGAGGGGGTGGGCCTGGGCTGTTCCCGTGGCCCCTCAGGGATTTGTAGCAATTTGGATTTTTAATAAAGCTGAGATTTGTTTTTCTCTCTGCCCTTCCTTTGGGCTGGTGTCCTTCAGCCTCTCTGCCATCTCTCTCTCTCTCACAGTTTTGGAGCCTCGCTGCTCCAGTCCCCCGTGTCCCTGTCCACCCCGTGTCCCCCTCTGTCCCCCTCTGTGTCACTCCAGCCCCGGGGGACAGCGAGGAGGGGTCTCCACCCCCCCTTAATGTCACTGGTTGGTGACAGGAGCTTCGGGGGAGGGGGTGTGACAGGCGTGAGATCAAATACAATTTGATTAATATGCAAATTGAGGGGGGCAGGGGCGGCCGCAGCCGGTAATTAATCACCGGTTAAAACAAATTAATGCCCGCGGTGGGAGGTGCTCGCCCGGAAAAATGGGGGAGTGGAGAGCTCTGGGGTCCATATTAAGGTGTTGCCTTTATTGCAAATATTTACACCGGGGCCGATAGAAAATAAAATTAAAAAAAGAACAAACAACCAAACAATGGAAAGACGAACAAAAAAAAAAAAAAAGAAAAAGCCTCAAAAGGGTGCAGGGAGGGGGCGGGGCTGGGCTCGGCTCCTTTCGGAACCGAGCCGCTGGGCCGAGCGCACCCGAACGGTGCCGAGTGTACCCGAACGGAGCCGGCCCGAACCGACCCGAGTGAATCCGAACTCAGCCGAGCCGGGCCGAGTGGAGCCGCGCGGATCCGAACGGAGCAGTCTCGGTCCCGGCGGCTCCGAACGGAGCCGAGCGTGCTCGGCTCAGTCCGCCACGTCGATCTCCTCCTCCGAGAGCTCGGCGGGCTCTGCTGTCCCGGTGCCGGTACCGGGAGCCCCCGGGGGTTCGGGCAGCCCCGCCAGCTGCTGCAGGGCGGCGGGGGGCAGCGCTTGCAGCGAGGCCACGTCCGCCCGCAGCTCCTCCAGGTCCCGCTTGAGCTTGGCGCGGCGGTTCTGGAACCAGGTGATGACCTGGGCGGCGGAGAGCGCCAGCCGCGCCGCCAGCGCGTCCCGGTCCACCGGGGAGAGGTAGCGCTGCCGCCGGAATCGCTGCTCCAGCTCCCGCAGCTGCTGCGCCGTGAACGCGGTCCGGGACTTGCGACGCTTCCTGCACGGAGGGCGCGGGCCCGGGGCGCCCGGCGGGGACGGACCTGCGGAGACAGCGGGGTTAGGGCACGGAGAACCGGGAGCAGCACCGGGACCCGCACCCGGGAACGGCCCCCGGCAGCCCGGCTGGGCAGCGCCTGCGGGGGCAGGGCATCGCACCGGGAACGGCCCCGGGAAGGGCAGCGGCACCGGGATGCCGGCGGGGAAGGGCTTGTGGGGCAGGGTACCGGCACCGGCACCGCCGAGCACCGCGGGCCTCGACCTGCGGGGACAGCGGCGTCAGGTCAAAGAAAGACACCGGTACACGCACCGGGACCCAGCCCTGGCACGACCTGAGGGCACCGGTAACTGCAACCGCACCGGCCCCGCCGTCTCCCGGTCGAACGGAGACGGACCGGCCCACATCGAACCGAACGCAGTCGAGCCGTACCGAACCGAGTCGTGCCCAACCGAACCGAGCAAACCGAACCGCGGCCGGCGCCGGAGGCCGGGACTCATCGTTCTACAGCGGCCGCGCTCGTGTCGATGGGACCCCGTTGGGACCGGGGCTGAGACACCCGTGTCCCCCCGGCAGCTGCTCCGGGAGCCCGGAACGAAGCCGGGAGCCTCGGCAGAGAACCGGGATCCTCCTCTGCGATTCCACGAGACCCGCGGCCGTGCTGGTCCCCAGATTCGGTCCCGTTGCCTCTCCCGGTTCCGGTGCGGCCGCTGCTGCCCCTAGCGACCCCGGGAACCCCCGGCGAGACGCGGATCGCCACCCCGGGCACGGCTGCACGCCGCCGGCGGGATCCCGATCGCTGTCCCGGTCTCCTTCCCGCTCCGGCCCCCGGTCCGTTCCAGCCCCGCCGCTGCCGGTGGCACCGAGCCGCCTCCCGATAACGCGGCTTCCCCGTAACACCGGTGGTTCCCGGGGTCTCTCGCAGCGCAGACTCCGCTCCTCTCTAGGTCGAGGAGCCCCGGCCGGTCCCGGCAGAGTCCGTGGGTCCGTCCCGGTAGCACGGCTTTACCGCGGTCACGAAAACCCGATCCGTGCCGTGTTCGTCCGTCAGTCCAGTAACGGGGATTTACCGCCGCTCTCGGAGCCCCGATCGGCCTCGTTTCTGTCCGTCCGTCCATGCCGGTAACGGGGATTTACCGCGGCTCAGGGAACCCCGATCGCTCCGTAGTCAGTCCGTCCTTCCGCCGCGGCGAAGAGGCGTTTTCGTTCATCACGGAAGCCCGGGGCTGTCCCGGCCGTGTCGGTGGGTCCGTCCCGGTAACGAGGTTTTACCTGAGTTACCGGCACCTCCATCTGTCCGCCAGTCCCGCCTCGTTCCGCCGTTACCCGCGGCCGGTTCGCCACCGGGTTCTGTTAATTCCGAGATCCCCGCTCGGCCGTGTCCATCTGTCCGGCCGGTACCGGAGCTTCACCCCCGCTCCGGGAACCCTGATCGCTCCCGTGCTTGTCCGGCCGGCAGCGAGATTATTTTCGTTCATTTTTATTAGTCCTGCTTCTGTCCTTCCGTCTGGCCGGTAACGGGAATTCACCTCCGCCCCGGGAGCCGCTATCTTTCCGATTTTTGTCCGTCTGTTCACCCGGTAACGATTTATTTCGTTATATTTTTTTCCGATTCTTTTTCTGTCGATCTGTCTGTCCGATAACGGACCTTTTTACGTTAATTCCGGGAGCCCCGATCGGCCCAGTTTTTGCCCGTCTGTCCGTCCCGGAAAAATGATTTTTTCTCCCCCGTTCCTGTCCGTCTGTCCACCCGGTAATGGGATATTTTCGCTCACTTATTTCGTTCCTTGCCGTGTCCATCCGTCAGATAACGAGGGTTTTTACCTTAAAACCGGGCGCCCGAGGCGTGCCCGTTCTGTTCGTCTGCCCGCCCGTTAACGGGTTGCTTTATTCGTTAATCACAGGATCGCTGCTCTGTCTGTCCGTCTGTCTGCCCGCTGTGGCGGGTTCCTTAATTACCGGAGCACCTCTCCGTAATTCGGGATTTTTTTGCCCCCGTTAATTACCGGAGTGTGGCTCCATCCTCGTCCATCCGTCCGGCCGGTAACGAAGGCTCGGTTACTCACGGGAGGGCTGATCTAGCGCTCCGTGTCCGTCTGTCCGAAGGGTTTTTCGTTACCGGCGTGAGTCGCGTTGTGCCCAACCGAATCCGTTAATTACCGGCACGCTGCTCTGCCGTGACTGTCGGTCTGTCCGTCCCGGTAATATTTTTTTTTTCCCACATTAATCATGGAGATTCGCTGTCCGTCTCAGTAAGAGACGGTAATTATTTTTCTGCGTTAATCACCGGAGCCTTTTTCGGTCTGTCCGACCCGGTAACGGTTTTATTCATTCCCGGCGACGCCGTGCTTTGCCTGTCCGTGTGTCCCTCCGTGTGAGGGATTTTCCGTTAATCCCGGAGACACGATCAGTCCGTCCGTGTCTGTCTCTCCAACCCAGGAACGGATTTTTTCGTTCCCGGAGGCGCCGTGCTGTCTGTCGGTGTCCGTGCTGTCTGGTCGTCCTCCCGGTTCGGCCGAGCCCGTGAGATGTGAGGCGGGTTCGTGCCCGTCCGTGAGCGGCCCCCGGACCCCGCCGGTACCGGGCTGCTCCGGCAGGCCAAGCCCCGGACGGAGCCGCCGTCCCCGCTGAGGCTCGGGGCCGGTACCGGGTTTCCGTTGCCGGCGGGCCCGATCCGCCGCTCAGCCGCTGCGCTCGGTCACGGTCACGGTCACGACTCGGCGGCGCCGATCCACCGCCCGGTCCCGTGGCTCCCGGTAAAGCTGCCGGCCCCGGCGCGGCCGGTTCTCCCGGAGCTTCGGTGCCTGTGGTGGCTCACCGGGGCCGGGGCTCTCTCCGTTTCCCGGTGTCTGACACCGGGACTTCTCCGTCCCTTCGGACTGAGGCTGCCGCTTGTCCCCGGTGTCCCGGCCGAGCACCGGCGGCTTCTCGGGCCTCCCAGCCGTGCTCGCCCCTCTGGGACGAGGAGGAAACTTCCCGGGACGGGGGACGAGGGGCGTCCCTGGCCTCCCCGCCGCCCTCCAGCCCCGCCACCTGCCCGGTGCCCGGTGCCTGGTGCCCGGTGCCCGCCGCACTCCCGGCGGAGCCCCCCCGCCCCGGCAGCCCCCCGGCCCCGGTACCTCCGGCCGCCTGCAGCATTCCCAGCTCCAGCCCCTGGAAGGTTTTACTGGCGAGTTCCTCCAGCGCCCAGAGCGGCGAGGCCGGGGCGCAGCCGCCGCCGCCTCCGCGGGGCCCTGTCGGGGCGGGGGGGGCGGCGGGACCGGTCCCGGTCCCGGGGGGGCTCCCGCCGCGGGGACGTCCAAGGATGTCCTCGATGCCGAAGGGGGTCAGCGGTTTTGTGGTGTTGGCGGGGGGCGGGAGCCGGTCCAGGGGGCTCCGCCGGTGGCCGCCGACCGCGGCGGGCAGCGGGGGGGAACCGGCCGCCTCCCCCCCCCCCCCCCCAGCCCCGCGATTCCCGTTCCACCGCCTTAAAGCCCCGGGATACCGGGAGGAGGAGGAGGAGGAGCCACGGACGCCCCCCCTGTAGAGGGGGGGGGACCGACCCCTCTCCGCCACTACCGGGGCGCAGCCCCGCGCCTCCCCCCGGTTGTCTCCCCCATTTTAACCCACCCCAGTGGGTCCCCCCTCCTCCTCTGCTCCCTCCTCATCCTCACCGCGGCTCTTACCCTCACCCAAAAATTTATTGGCTCTTTTGCTCTAAAATGCCCCATAAAAGCATCGGGGCCGCGGCTGGGAGTGATTAAGCCCTTTTGGGTGGGTTTTGGGTTTCAGAGCCATAAATACTCCCCCCCCCCCCCCCCCCTCCACATTCCCGCTGCCCTTTCCCGGTACAAATAGCTCCGGGATTTCGGCCGCTCGTAAAAATCCCGGGATGCCGCACACGCAGGTGAGGCCTGGCTGGCGACGCCGCGTCCGGATTATCGGGCGGGTTTGGGGCTGGGGGATGCCGGATCTCCCCTCCGGAGAGGCGATTCGGTACCCCCCAGCCTCAATCCCGTCGGGTGTCCCCGTGGATCTGTCGCCGGGATCGGGGACATGGCGGGGTCACGGGGGTCACGGCGGTAATGAACCTGCGGACGATGCGGGGGGGGCCGCGGGGAGCACACGGAGCCGGCCTGGGGGAGCAGGTGCAGGGGGATCCGGCAGCGCCGATGCCAGGATTATGGAAGGGGGTGGGGTGGGGAGGGGGCTCGGTTTGGGAGAGGGACACGGGGCCCCTCGCACGGCGGCGTGCCGGGCACGGCGGCGTTTGCACGGATTCCTCGCACGCGGCTTTTGTCCTCTCCGCAGGGCGCGGGGAGATGGCGGAGCCGCCGCGGCCGCACGTGCCGCCGGCTCTCACCGGGGGATGGAGCCCATCCCGAGCTGGGACCCCCACTCCCACCCCTCACCGGAGCTGCCAGCGGTCCCGCACACGGATGGACCCCTGTGAGCCCAGTCCCTTCCAGCAGCAGCGCTGGAATGAGGCCGCCGTGCCGGCCGCAGGGCCCTGGGCGCCCGGTGAGCAGGGAATGGGGGTCGCAGCCCTCGCCAGGAGTCCCAGCCCTTCCCGGGGGTCCCAGCCCCATGGGGAGGCCGCGGTCTCAGTATTGCTTTAAGGCACGCAGAGGGAAATCGCTGCTGGGGGTGATTCCGTGCTCCTGTGCTGGTGGGAGCTGCGGCCGCCCCCCAGCCGCTGAGCGAACCCCTCTGGAACGCTCCGGCTCCTCCGGGATCTCGGCAGCCGGGAATGCCGGGCTGGGAACGTGGGAACGCTCCCACCGGGAATCTGCAGGAGCCCGGCAGTGCTGCTCACCCTGATGGATGGGGTGTCACCCTCGCCCCCTCTCATCACCCCCCCGTTATCCCCACCCTGCTCTTCAGCAGTTGGGGTGAATCCCTGCGCCCAGGGGCGCTCCCAGGTCACGGTGCTGGCACCTCCTTCCCTCCCCGAGCCCCCACTCGTGTCTCGAGGCGGCCGCTGGGGCATTTCTGGGGTGGGCTGAGCCCCCCCAACCCTGCCCAAATCCTCTGGCTTCCCCCCGGAGTGGGAAGTGCTGGCTCCAGCTGCCGGGAACACAGGATGGGAAACGCTTTTCACCCCAAAGCAGGCCACAGGGTGGGAACAAAACGAGCCCTCGGGGGTTTCGCAGGAACACGGGAGCTTCCTGCGGAGCCGGGGGAGTGCCCGACGCTGGCCCGTGGCCCGAGGGGACCGTGACGGGCACGTCCACGGCGTGGGGCTGAGGGCACCCCAGGGTACCGCACCCGGTGTGGCACTGACAGCCCCCGCCTTTGTCCCACTCCTCCACCGCGGGGGTGTCCCTGGGGGTCTCTGGGGGTGTCCTGGAGGTCTGGGACCTCGGGTCCCAGCCACCTCCCTGCCCCTCAGGCCCCATCCCCGCCGTGAGCAGCACCAGGGCACACGCGTGTGTGTGTGTGTGTGTTCACGAGTGTGCACATGTGAGCAGGGTTGTGGCATCCACGTATGAGGGGACACCGTGGGGGTGTTCGTGCTGGAGCTGGGGCTGCTGCCGTGTCCCCCCACCCAGCATCCCCCATCTCGGGGGCTGCCGTGGCTCCAAGCACCGGCAGCTCCGGGTATTCCCCCAGCCGTAGCCGGGAGCGGGGTGCTGGGGGTGCCAGGGGTCTGGGGTGTCAGGAGCGGGGTACTGAGGGTGCCAGGGGTCTGGGGTGTCAGGAGCAGGGTGCTGGGATGCCAGGGGTGTCAGGAGCAGGGTGCTGGGGTGCCGGCGCAGCGCCGGGGGTAACACAATTCGGGGTGCGGCGCCCCCGGAACGCGCCTCCCCCGCCCCGCGCCGCCCTGATCCATTATTTATCGGCTCCATCCCAATATTGCGCCGCAGCGCTCTGTAACGCGATTAGGGCCTCGGCCCCGCGCGGCCCCGGCACATGGAAATCGCTGGCAAATGAATTTTCCTTTAATAAGGGAACAGCTCGGTGCGGAATTAAAGTGTAAGGAGCGGCGGCAGCGCCGGGGGGGTGCCGGGAGCCCCCCCGCGCCGGGGGACGGGACCCCAGCAATTACTGGCAATAAATCCTGACCCTGTGGTGGGCTGGGACCTCGGCGGAGCCGGGAATAATGGGATTACACCTGGCTCCGGTGAATGGGGATGGATGTGTCGGGAGTCGGGGGAGCCAGGGGAGACGGGGATCCCTCCCTGGGGCTGTTGGCAAATCATCGATTCATTAACAGGAGCGGCATCACCCCCCGCGCTCCGGGGCTCTGAGCACAGCCACGGCACGGGGGGAGCGAGAGGGAATGGGATGGGATGGGATGGGATGGGATGGGATGGGATGGGATGGGATGGGGATGGGGATGGGGATACGGACATGGACATGGGGACAGCGCAGAGCTGGGGACACACGGGGCCCTGCCCACGCCTCCACGGCTCCCACACCCGTGTGTCTGTGTGGCCACAACCACCCCAGCGGGCTCCTCGCAGCCGTGTGTGCGGGCACAGCTGTGTGCAGGTGTGCAGAGGCGTGTGCAGGTGTGTGCAGCTGTGTCCAGGTGTGCGTGCAGGGCTCACGGACACAGCAGCTCACATCCAGAGCCGCCACACGCGTGTGCAGGATCGCACACACACACGCGGGGCCACGAGTGCCAGTGCCAGGGACGGGCCGGGGTCAGCGGGTCCCGCCAGCCCCGGCCCCAGCTGCCGCGCCCCCCCGCAATCCCCTGCTCGCTCCGGGGCCTCCATTTGTGCCTGGGCCAAACTCCAGCCAAATGGGCCGTGGGCGGGAGCGGGGGGGTTGCATTTCAAAGGCTCCGGCTGCAGCAAACGCCGCTGCCCCCCCGCCGGGCTCTGGGCCGCCCACGCCCCCTGACCCCCGCACGGCACGGCCGGGACGGGGGAGACTCCCCGAAGCCTGCCCCAGCAGAGGGACCCGCTGGGACCCCCATGGGGTCGGGGTCCGTCCAGAGTTGATCTGGGGGTTTGGGGGGACGGGGGGCGTGGGATCCCCACCCCGACGCGGGGCAGAGCCGTGGAGCGGGGCCGCGGGCCCGCTGCCCACCGAGCGGGGGTCTCTGTGCCGGGGGACGCGGGGCAGCAACCGGGATGGGGCGGCTGGAGAGGGTGCGGGGGCTCCGAGTGCCTCCGGTCGGTGCCCGGCTTGGGGCACCCCCAGGCTCCCCGTGGCACCGGGACCCCGGGAGACCTGCCGCGGGCAGCGGGACGGTGGCGGGTGCCGCGGCGGGGCCGGGGCGGCGGCGGGGCCATGAGGATTCAATTAGGGCTGAGCGCGGGGGACTCGGCTCGGAAATGGCCCGTCTGGGCGTTGACAGCCCGGCCCCCGCCCAAGATGAACGAGCCCCGGATTAAAGCGCGGAGGGGTGACAGGGGCACCTGAGCAGCGAGGGGGCTGGGGCGGCTGCAGGGGGGCGGGACCCCGCCTTTGGCACGGCCACGGGGGCGCTGAATAACCGGGAGGGGGTCTCCAATGAGGCGGGGGGGGGGGGGGGGGGGCCCCCCCCCCCCCCACG